GAGTTATGAATGTTGTTGCATTCGTGTTTCACTCACAAAAACACCCTCCACTTTTCAGTGTAGCTGCAACATTTCATTGCCCGATTTAGACCAGATAACTTCTAAATAAAAATTAAGATTCAATGTTTGGTTTTTACAGACAAGTCAGCTTTTTTTAATTAAACTCCATTGTAACGTAATGTAAAGAAACATTTCTACACAAAAGACAATTTAAAAATCAACCAATTGAACAAGTTCTCTAAAACAATCAGATTTCCTCAACCATTATTTTCCAGGTTCTGGACAATTCTGCCCATTAAAAGTATCACATTTTGTTTGAATTAATTTCTAGCACTAATTCTTAATGTAACGTACCTTTCAGACTAATTAAAGCCAATCAGTGATCAGTTTAATATGAAATACTCAAAATTTAATGCAAATAAACATCTTACCACAGTTTTCAGAAACAGGCAGAGGCTTCTGGGGACCGACTTCCTTCAAGCACCCAGGATCAAACAAAGCAAAGCTAAGTCCAGGAGGTTTTGGAGCCGATAGTTTTGTACCGATAGAGATGTGGTCTAGAGTCATGGACTTCAAATCAGATTTATGGGGTTCAGRCAAGACATCAAGCTCAGAATCTCTGCAAGTAAGAAATAAATTAAGCAGCTTGAGATGAAACTGCATTTTGTTTCTCCAACAAACAGAAAAAAAAGGTTTCAGTATGAAAACGTAGGTTGGACATTGCCTCACCTTGTCTTTAGTCATATTAAAAGAGATGAGAAAAGGGAGGAAGAAGTCATCAGGATTGGTTAGAATGAGTAAATCTAGTGTTAGGTTTGAAAAGTAGGGTCAGGCGAGGCACTCCTTGGGGCTTGTTAGGATGGGAGACAGAGCTAGCGGCGGCACTCTGAGCCAACCAGGAGAAACAGGAATGAAGGAAACTCGAGGAGTCTGCGTTCTGGAGAGTAAATAAGCTCAGACATTCTGAAGGGGTTTTTTATATTATACATTTTTAAAAAATAAATAAAATAATCATCACTCTGCACTTAGTGAGCCATTTAGCCTTGTACTTGCACACTTACTTTAGTTTCAGAGGAGTTTTCACAGGTTTGAGTTTTGTTTGCCACTCCTGTGTGGCTGCAGAAAAAATAGAGACAAAATAAACAAATTAGTGAAAATAAGTATTTTTTTTATTTTTATGCCAAATTTGTCACTTTCAGTGCCTGTGACATGCAGATCCTTTAAATACAAAAAGCCGAAAAAACATCTTTATATTTAAGAAACTTGGCATAATACATACCATTTTACACATTCTGTCATAACTGG